TGAAGATGGCAGCCTCAGATCCAGCCTGGCCGCTGCACAGCGCAGAACTGCCCCTGTGCCTGCTGGGGGGGCAGCGGGGTGAATTGGTGCTGGGGTCAGAGCAGGCACTTCAGCTGGCCTGTCCCGAGGCTTCAGCCCCTTGGGGTCATGTGCTGGGGATGCCCCTCACCGCCCCACTGCCCTACAGGCGTGGGCAGGTTGTGCTGTGGATAAGTGCAAGCACCAGATTGCACCCCACGAGGTGAAACACCAGCTGCACAACGTGGATACCCAGGTGCTCTTCCACTGCACTCGCAGTGGCCGCTGTGTGTCCAGGGCCTTCCCACCACCACAGAGCACTGCCTGTGATAGTTTGGGGTCAGATGAAGTGGAACCTGGTGGGGTGCCCGCCCTGGCCAGCAGCCACTGACCACTACCCTCCTGTGGCTGCAGGCTGGCAAGGTTCCCAGGCAGGGTGGAAGACCTGGGGGTGGCCATCCTCCCTGACAGCATTGCCACAGACCGCTTTGTTCTAGAGCTGCCCACTGACCGCAGCCTAGGCCAGGGGTCACAGCACAAGCAAGTGTGGAGGGTCAAGGGAATAGGACCTGCATGGGGTCTCCTACTCTGTGTGAGCAGGAGAGGGGCCCTGGTGGGGCTGGGTGCTGCCCCCCAGGCTTGGCATGAAGCTGGCATTGTGCTACGCCCTGCTCTGCTGTGCCATGGTGGGGCTGGGGTGGAAGGTGACGGCTGTCAGTGCCACAGCGTTATGTCAATGCTCACAGCTTTGCTTCTCCCACAGCTGTATCACAGTGACCTGGGTGGTGCTAGTAGCTGCACAGCCTCCTCAGCATGTGACCTACCAGGCCAAGCATCGGGACTGGAGGACGTGGAACAGCGGTGGCACACTCTGTGAGCAATGCCTAGGGCTGGCCTTGGAGCAAAAGCCAGGTGCTCAGCAACATGTGGTGCCCTGACGATGCCCGAGAGGCACTGCCTCACTGCAGGGAGGGAAATGTGCTGTACAGCAGCCGGGGAGTGGAGCTACTTGATTTCTGGTCCTTGAGACAGAAGATGGCACTGAGCTCAGCTGCTGGCATGACTGCATGGGGCTGGGGGGCCACAGCTGAAGCAAGGGCAGGCAGAGGGACTGAGAAGCCTCCCAAGGAGCTGCGGCTGCCACCCATGAGCATCAAAACAAAGGAACAGGAGGGCTTGGGAGAGCACAGTGTTTCTTCCCAGTTGTGCACTGGGGTGGGAGGGGCCACTCCTGGACTTGTTCTCCTTCAGCTGGGGGGCCTGAGCAGGGTGGTGTGATCCCAACACCCTTTCAGAGGCAGGGTGGGCTGGAGCCTGTGCCATGTCCAAGCCCTGGAGGAAGGTGGGGGCAGGGCCCTGCCCCAGTCAGGGGTCAGACCCTGCATGTGGCAGAGGATAAATAAAGGGTGGTCAGTGTGGTGTGTGGTGCTGGGGCTGAGCCTGAGGGCCCCAGCCCAGGAGCTGATTTTGCCTACCTGCAGTAAGCACAGTGCACTGGAGCAGGCAGGAAGGTTTATTTTATCACTTGCACTACACCCAAGGCTGAGGCAGGGTGGTAGCAGCAGGGAAGGAGCAAGTTTTGATCTCAGGGGTACCCTAGGGTGGTCCTTGCTCTGTGCCCATCACCACTGCTGCCAGAGCCCTGGCCTCCTGTCCCACGTCGGGTGTAAGGCCAACACTCCTCCCATACAACTCAAGGGTCTCACACTGAATTTCAGGAGGGGCTTCCCCCTGCTAGCCTAGCCCTGCCTTCCCCTGTGCCACCTCCCAGTCCTGCCTGGCCCAGGGCAGCAGCTCAGACCCCAGGGAGCAGGGGGAGGCCCCTGCCTGCTCAGCACACAAGAAGGGTGAGGAATCACCACAATAAATAAGGGAGAGGGACATCTGGGCAGGAAGAAGAGGAGAGCACACAGCAAGCACGCTATGGGGAAGAGGCGGGGAGTGCTGTGTCAGCGGCCCAGGGGACAGCTCTGGCTGTCCAGCTCCTGGGGGCTGCCCCCCTCCCTCGGGGCACTGCTGCAGCCTGGGGGGCTAGTGGGGCTCATCCTCCAGCAGGGATAGCCCTGATCCCTGCTCTCCCTCTGCCGGCCCAGGGCCTGGTCGATGGTCTCCAGGCGGAGCGCAGGCAGCAGGCCCAGGTTCCGGGGGTCAGCCCTGGCCAGCGGGGTGTCGGCAGAGGCACGCCGGGGGCCACCCTGCTCCCACACAGTCTGGTAGAAGGAGCTGCCCTCAGGGCTGTTGGCCGCCCACCCAGGCTCCTTGGCTTTGGCTCCGCAGCAGCCCAGCTCCTCCTGGGGCAGGTGGATGGCAGGGATGTCCCCCGGGAGGCCGCGGCGGCTCTGGGGCGAGGGGCTGCGTCTCGTACCCCTGTCCCGGCTTGATGGCCGCAGGATGAGGCCCTGGAACTTGGCCAGACTGGGGCTTCGGCTCCGGTGCCGTTTCATCTTGCCCGGGCTGGGGCTACGGGATTTGGGGGCCAGAAGGACAAGCGTGCTGTCATCCTCCTCTTCTGAGCTGCTGCCCGAGCTGTCCGTGGGGCTGCTGCCTTCCTCTGACCTGGGCAGGGAGATCTGTGCCCCTGCATCAGCGCCACTGGCTGATCTACAGAGGGGGCTGTGGAGCACCACAGCCGCTGGCTGCCTCCTGCCAAGCACCCCCCACTCACTCCCCCCACCCTTGCCTCTTGGCCGTGCTGACCTGGAAAGGCTCAGTCACACCAGCGATGCTGCTGGAGGTGTTGCTGTAGTATCCAAGGATGTACTCGCCCTTCCCCTTGGGTAGGGCCTCCTCTGAGAACATCACCTGCAGCCCAGAGACAGATGGTGAGCACCAGGGCCAGGTATAGGCTTGTCCCCTCCCACATCCAGCCCCAGCTGAGAGCAGAGATCCCCACACTGATGCAGTGGGTCTGTCTCCCTGTGACAGGGCACACTTGCCCAGCTCACCTGTGCACACAGCTGCTTCTCCAGGCAGCGCTCTCCGTCATCACTCCTGGCCCAGATGTAGGACACATAGTCCTTAGGGTGCCGAAAGCCCACCTGAGTGCAGGCACATGGCAAAACACAGGTGAGTGGGGGAACAGAGGCACTACCCAGCACCATCGCTCATGCCTTTACTCTGCTCTCACTCAGCCCCCTCTCCTTGCACAGGGAAATCAAGAGCTGCCTCACACCCACCCAGCCGTGCCCCAGACCCCCAGGAGTGCCAGGCTTTGGGCCCTGTGGCCCCCACAGAGTCTCAGGGAAAAGGAACTGCTGGATCTGAGCCTCCTGAAGCAGGGAGCTTCCTGGGGTCAGCCCTGGCCAGGGCAGCATCAGCTCAACACCAGGACTTTCCAGGGGAAAGGAGAGCACAGAGCCAGTGTCTGCTGGTGGGGGGTAGCTCGGAAGGGATGCCACACTGCTGTGCAGTGCTCCCCATTCCCTCCAGCCCCAGCAGCCCCCGAGCCCCTACCCGGTAGAGTCCTATCCAGTCCCAGGAGCTCCGGTGGAAGCCAGCAGCCATCTTGTACCTGACAACCGCTTGTTCAGGCCTGCTCCATTCATCAGCCACATAGATCTCAACTGGGGGCTTGTCTGCCTTGGAAGCAAACTGCCAAGGACACACACATGGTGAGCAAGGGCACACCAGAGAGAGCTGCCCCTGCTGCCCCGGTCAGCCATCTAGGGCCGAGTCCTCGTGCGCACACCACCAGCAGCCCTCAGCCACAGCAGCGAGACAACTGAGCTTGCAAAAAAAAAAAAAAACACCACCCCAAAAAGCCCCGCACCCTGCTGCACACACCAGCGGGGTGCTCACCCCTGCGTCCCCCGCCTGCAGCCAGGCCCTGGACGGGGCTCACCTGCACTGCGAAGATGGCAGCCACCGGCTTGTGGTCGCTGACCGTGTACTCCATATGGCTGCAGTAGCAGAGCTGGCTCACCGACAGCACGCCCCGGCTGGGCCGGCGCCCGCCCGCGCCAGGCCCAACGCTGCCAGGCTTTATCTTCCAGAGGATGCGGTC